CACAACTCAAAACTTTTACTTTCCATATAGCCATTCATTAATTCAATCATTGTTATACCTAACTTACTCATAAATTAATTTTGCAAAAAATCATATATACAAAAATTTATCTCCTGATTACCTCAATCCTTGATTTACCAACCAAGAGTACATTTTGATGACTCAAGGAGCCTTCAACAAGCTCAAGTATTCCAAAGTAGCCAAAATCTACAATCAAGTGCATTAATTGCCATTAATCACAATTAATTCCTTTAATCAAGGTCTAAAATTCAAAACCTTTATTAGGATTATACATTATCTATTCCATTTCTTAATCCCTACTAACTCATTTAAAACTCCCCAAACCAACAGTAAGCATTAAACTTGCAAACCACTATTTATTGGCTAATCCATACTAGGGTTTACTTTAAATCTCAATATACAAATCAAGACCTTTGTTAGTGGCTTACCCAAAGCTTAAAATACTTCACCAAGCTTCCATTACTCTAAATTATGTCAAAAATTTTGCATGTTTCCTCCTATTTTTGGATCTCAGCCACCGCCACAAAAGAAACAAGAAGAAGAACATGAAGAGAGTAGAAGAAAGAGTGTAGGAGCTTACCCCAGAGTTGTATATCTCTTAAGGACAACAAAAGGCTAAAACTTGTAAACCCTAGTAGAGGAAGGTTCCAACCTTTAAGCTCTCTCATCCCTTCCTCACATAGACATTGTTATATTGGAGATTTTAAAAATAGAAAGCACATCAATCAACCACGGCACTCGTGTTCTCCATAATAGAAGATGGTGTAATGGGCAAGCCCATGTTAAACCATCTAATTTGGGCTCAAAGTGGTCCAACAATCCTTATACCTAGATGTCAAGCCTCAATTAGGATTTGGTAAGACCTAAAGCCTTAGGTTAGCCTTAAATTTCCTAATCAAATCACAATTTGTAAATCCATTCTTAAAATAACCTTAATTAAAATCAATTAAAATTCCCAGGATGTTACCAAAACCATTTAGTATATGTTCAAATGTGAGAGGAAACTGAAACACCAACCAAGAATTGTCAAGTTGTCACAAATGGACTTAATGTTGATCAAATATTCCTTTATGGATAAGTTGTATTTTCTTTTATTGGTGAGAAGAAGATTTTTGTAGTGAAGAACCTTAAATTTTAATTTGGCATAATAAATATCACATAATCAATACCAAATCTAAGCTGATGTATTAAAACTAATTAAGTTAGGAAAATGGATTGACTAACTGTAGATAATAGCCATAAAGACAAGGCAATATCATGTTCATAAACCTTAAAGCTAGATTAAAACCTCTCGACCATGTTCATCTCACATCATTGCAGGTGGAACTTGTGTAGTACTATCAATGATACACTATCAAAAAAAAACTACCTGATTAGCGACAGAATGTTATGTCACTAAATGAGTTAGTGATAAAATTTGCAATTATATTGCTAATTAATGATGGAATATTGATGAAAAATTTCTATCACTAGATGAGGATAAGCTATTTTGGCTTTATAATGGAATGCATTTGTCACTAATCCATCACAAATTTTCCAACAAACTTATTTCATTACTAATTTTTAGGTAGATCAAAACATCATTGCCATGTCACCCAATAGACTAAACCTCACCACCGCCTCGTCCCCTAGTAGACTAGTGTCATCTCACCACCACATCACCACCACATCATTTGTCACTATCATGTGAAAAATTATTACTTTTAATTGTGAATTGGCCACGCTTGAACCTGCAACCTTATACTCCCTGATGCCTTTGCATCCACCTATTGTTAGTTGAGTGAAAGGAATCTTCAATCTTAATTGATAAATTAAATATTATTTAAATTTACTATTTTTTAATATTATATTACTTATTAATATTTATATATAATAATTATTCCTATATTTTATTTTTAAAAAATTATTTTGATAATAAATTTAATATTAAATTTAGAAATATTTTATTATCATTATATATTATATTATATATAATTTGTATCTATATAATATATAATATTTTAAATTTTTATTTTATTTTAATTTTTAAATAAGAATAGTTAAGTATACAATTTAAATTATTATTAATAATATACAAATAATTTAAAATAATAAAATTTAAATGATAATTTTTAATTATTTATTTATAGAAAAATATTAAATTATTAAATAAATTATATATAAATCTATATTATAAATAATAAAATTAAAATTAAAATAATTTGTCATTGAATTAGTGATGGAATATGATAGAAATCTTTATAATAGAATTTTCTGTCGTAAATTCCATCATTAAATTAAAAAAGATATCTTGAAAACTATCAATAAAATTTCCATCAGTAAATTATTTCTAATTGATTAATGATGGAATAATGATAGAATTTTAGTGACAGAAGCGACAGAATTAACCATGGATTAGCGATGAAAAATTATTTCATTGCCGTCGCTAATTTGCTTTTTTTGTAGTGATTAGGTGTAAATGATGCTACTTTACCATAAAAAACAACCTTTTGCGTCTAGAGAAGAAGAAATTATTGTCTTCTAGAATGACATTAATTTTCTTGTTCTAAAAAGACACAAGATTTTGAACTTCAACAATAGCAAGAACAAGGATATACGCTATAACAAAAATGAATTAGAAGTAAATAAGAAAGGTGATGAGGTCACCAAAGTAGTGGCCTTAATACCATGTAAGGAAGAGGACAGAAAGAACATTTTGTTAAGACTTTAACAAATCTCTAACAGAACTACTAAAACTAAGTGCATATGCATTTAGGCCTAATTGGGCTTTACTTATAAATCTAAATCTATACGCTTAATAAGAAATAATTCAAGTAAAGACTATTCCTTTAACAGATCAATTCATTAATTTTTGTTTACTTCAATACTATTTCACTTTTTTCTAAACTATGTTGTTAGTTATGGTTTACTCAACGTGGTTATATTAAAAATTTCTCATTTTACTCTTTTCTTATTTCTTACCGACAAGAATGAAAGTAAAGATATTGAGAATATCATTGAACATATTGCAATATTCTAGAAAAGAAAAGATGAAGTTATTGCTAACCATCCAGTGGGAATAGAATCTCGTGTGCAAGTTGTTATTCAACTTTTGAAAAAGTATTCCTCAAATGATGTTCTCCTAATAGGTATATGGGGAATGGGAGGAATTGGTAAAACAACCATTGCAAAAGCCATTTACAATAAAATTGGTCGTGACTTTGAAGGTCGAGTTTCCTTGAAAATATTAGAGAAGTTTGGGAGCAAGACAGTGGTCCAATTTTTTACAACAGAGACTTCTTTACAATATTTATCCAACAACAAAATTGAAGATACATAGCATTGAATTGGAATAAGTTTAATAAAGGAAAGACTTCACCATAAAAGGATACTTCTTATACTAGATGATGTGAATAACTTTGATCAACTAAATGCTTTATTTGGTAGTCATAAATGTTTTTGCCCTGGCAGTAGAATACTCATCACAACAAGGGATCAACATATACTTAAAGTCCTTAAAGTGGACTATGTGTGTAGGATGAAAGAAATGGATGAAAGTGAATCTTTGAAACTTTTTAGTTGGCATGCATTTAAGCAAGAAAGTCCTAAGGAAAACTTCACTGAACTCTCTAGGAATGTAGTTGCTTACTCAGGAGGACTTCCACTTGCTCTTCAAGTCCTTGGATCATTTTTGTTTGCCAGGGAAATATTAGAGTGGAAAGGGTGTATTAGAGAACTCAAAAGAATTCCCAATACTCAAATATAAAAGAAGTTAAAATAAGCTTTGATAGTTTAGATTATTTAGATCAAGATATATCCTTGATATATCTTGTTTTTTTATTGGGAAGGATAGATATGTTCAACACAAATCATGAATGAATGTGGATTTTGTGCTTATATTGGAATATCAACCTTGATAGAGCGAAGCCTTGTCACTATTGACAAGAAGAATAAGCTTGGAATGCATGACTTGTTATGAGATATGGGAAGAGAAATTATTCGTGAAACAAAACTAGACATGGTTGAGGAGTGTACAAGGCTATGGCTTCATGATAATGTTCTTTATAATTGTCAAAATGCACAGTAAGTACTATGTATTCTATTAATTTATTTCTTTTCATGAAATAAATTTCTAAAGAGGAGGAGGAAATAAACATGAACATCGAATTGCACCATCCATTTGATTTTTATAATATAAATTTATGGCTAAAATTCATTTGGATCAAACTCATTAATTGGTTTTATCTCTTAGTTCTGGGTTTCAGATATTAGATTGTTCTAGCTCCATCATGTCCACACAAGTTTTTCTTCTTAACTTTAATTGTGTTATGCTTTATGTTTTATAGGGGACTAACTTTGTGGAGGGATTGTCTTTGATGCTACCAGGAACCAATGCCATTTCTTTGAGTACCAAAGCATTTGAAAAGATGGAAAGACTTAGGCTACTTCAGCTGGTCAATTTCAATTTGAAGGAGATTATGAGTATATTTCAGAAAATCTTAAATGGCTTTGTTGGCTAGGGTCATCTTTAAGAAATACACCTAGCAAGTTCTATCAACAAAGTTTAGTTGCCATTGAGCTTAAATATAGTAATCTTAAGATAGTATGGAAGAAGCCTCAAGTAAGTACTTAAGTTTCACTTAACTTGTTCCTTTTGATCATGTTCTTTGATTTTTACTTCATAAAATTCAATCTTATAATTGTTGATTTGGCCTCCCTACCTATGTTGACAAACAACTCATTTTGACTCTTAGCAAATAAAGTGGAAAGGGTTCATATTAGGACATGAGAGAGAGGTCATATTTAAGATTGAGGTGTAGCTATTTGAGAGAGATCAAGAAGATAATTTCAACTCGTGTATAGTAAATTTGAGAAAATGGTTAATATAAGTGAGGATAGAAATTTTTATTGTATCTGTACATGCTTTAATAATTCAAAGCATATTCTCTATTTTTAATTTGTTTATACTTTTCTTTGTGTTTCATGCAGTTAAGGAGAAGTTGAAAATCCTAAATCTTAGTCACTCACATCATTTGATACAAACTCCTGACTTTTCAAATTTACCCAACCTAGAAAGATTAGTACTCAAAGATTGTTCAAGGTTGACTATGGTTCACCATTCCATCAGACAATTCAATAAGCTTCTTTGGCTAAATTTGAAAGATTGTAAGATTCTTCCCAATCTACCAAGAAGTATATACAAGTTGAAATCTCTTAAGACTCTCATTCTCTCTGGCTGTTCAAATATTGATAAGTTAGAGGATGACTTGGAACAAATGGAATCCTTAACGACACTTATTGCAGATAATATTACTATCATAAAAGTTCCTTTCTCAATAGTAAGATCAAAAATTGGATATATATCTTTGTGTGGGTATGAAGGATTATCACAAGATGTGTTTCCTTTACTTATCTAGTCTTAGATGTCTTCAAAAACCAATCCCTTGTATCTTATTCAACCATTTGAAAGCTTATCATCTGTAATTTCCTTAAACATACCAAATTCGAGTTTCAATAGCCTATCATCTATTATAAATGAAGTTACAAAGCTTCAAAGTGTATGCGTGGAATGTGGCTCAGATTCCCAACTAAGTCAAGATGTGGCAAGAATTTTGGGTACCTTATATGCTGCAAATTATACACAATTGCTAGCTTTACCAAGTACATCTGAGATCTCATCATCAGCTTCAAGTATGGAAACTTTGGCAATAATTGTTTCTCACAATCAAACTTAAACTTCTCCAGTCTCACAAGATGTGTTGAGATATCTTTTGATTCAAATGGGAAGGAACGACCAATTCACAAGTACTCTTGAAGAAAGCATTCTAGAGGTTTGTCTTTTCATCTCACTATCATTAGTTAAAAGTATGTTTTACTTTTTGTTGAGCACTTTTACTTAGCTCACAGGCTAATAATGCGATTAAATTGGTAATTTCAATTCTCAAAATTAACTGTTTGGTGTGATAGGAAAAATAAAAATAAGTATAACAAAATGTCTTCATTGATTGCATCGTTTGGTCTATACACTATTTGCTACACACACGCACACATATAGGAAGAGGAAATACACGTAAGCAAATAAAATGATAATGCATAACAGAATATACTAGAATAAGTTTAAATGTAAACAAGACAAAAACACTATGTTGTGGCAGTAGTAAAAAGGCCAAAAGTAGGCTTTGACATGGCTTATGTTAATATGTTCTGTCATCCCCCATGAGGCATAAGGAACTATAGTGGCTGTGAGGATCGAGTTGGGAGTTGTGAAGATAGAAATGGGAAGAACGTCAGTGAAAATATCTACAACTTGGTCCTGTACTAAAGAAATAATGGAAATGCGGAGGTTCTTAGAAGTTATTCGCTCACAAATAAAATGATAATCAAGATCAATATGTTTAGATTATGAGTGAAAAACTGGATTGGCTGCTAGATATGTTGGTCCAATGTTGTCACATTAGAGAAGAGGTTCTTGACAAAGAGAAATACCAAGTTCACCAAGTAATGATTGTATCTAAATGACATCATAGGTAGCAATAGCTAGTACTTTGTATTCAGTCTCTGTACTTGATCTTGCAGCTATAGGTTGGTTCTTTGAATTCTAAGAGACAACATTGGAGCCAAGAAATATAGAAAAACCAATGGTGGAATGTCTGTCATCAACACATCCACCCTAATTGGCATATGAGACAACAGTAATAGTGAAAGAAGTGAAAGAGCGAATGAGCAGGCCATGATTTTGAGTACCATTAAGAGACCCAAGAATGCACTTGACAACAAACCAATGAGGTTGGTGAGGTTCATACATAAATTATGAAACACAATTCACAAAGGAGATGTGATGCAGAACAGGAAAGGGAAAAGGGAAAATAAAATATAGAAGAGAGAAAGGGAGTAGAGATAATATAAAGAGAAGAGATAATTGGATAGAGAGGAAAGAAATTCAAAGGTGGCAACACGATAGTAATTCTTATTCAATAATAAGCGTATACAAATCAAATGAGTTGAGGTACTATTTATAGGTATTTATCTAACCTTAGAAATAAATGCATGAAAATTTTAAAAAATCTAAAATTAAATAAAAAGATAACAATAAGTACTCACAATAACAATAATTCAAATATTATGATAATTAAAATAAAATATTTTTAATTAATAAAATATTTTAATAAAATATCTTCTATCTTCCAATCTTCTCAAATCTTATTAGTTCTTGTTCTTTTTTTTCCCCCAACAAGATGTTATGACAAGTGAAAACTAGATATTGGGCCCATTTGTTTTAGCTTATTTTTAGAAAAAATCACTTTTTTTTTAAAAAAGTATTTTGAGTTTTTATGATATTTGTTTAAATTTTTAAAAATAATCAAAATTAAAAAAATATTTTTGATTATTTTAAAAAGTTAATTTGAGTAACTTTTAAAAATAATATAATACGATAGATTAGAGAGAATGTTCTAAAAATGCAAGAAAATTGAAATATATCATTAAATTTTAAAATAATTAAATAATGAATCATGTTTATAAAACATAAATCAAAAAATATATTATAAAATTTATAAATAACTAATTAATAATTGTTTTTTTATTATTGTAAGTAAACATGAAATAATTTAATAGGAAAAGTCCGTTGCAGGGCATTAATGAAATTATTAGAAGTAGCAGTAGAGGAAGAATTGACAATGATAATATCATGGGCATAAATGAGAAAATAAATAATTGTAGCACCAAAATTGAAAATGAAGAGGTAACCATCGGACTTGAAGCTTTAAAACCAAGCTCAAATAAACGAGTGCTGATCCGTAAGAACCAAGCTCTAAGAGCTTGTTTTAAGCCATAGATAGCATGATTGAGCTAGTTTGCAAATCAAATGAGGATAGTTAGGATGAACGAAGCCAGGAGGCTGAGACATAAACATGTTCAGTGAAGAAAGGCACTTTTAATATCAATTTAATGAACAGACCAGCCTCAAGAAACAAGAGATAAAACAATTCGAATGGTAATAGGCTTAACAAGAAGAGAAAGTATCTGTAAAATCAAGACCTGCTTGTTGATGAAAACCTCTGGCTACAAGACAAGTTTGTAACAATCAATACTACCACCTGGTTTGTGTTTGAGACGAAAAACCCATTAATTTGTAACTAAGTTATGACAGGAAGAAGGAGGAACGAGGGTTCGGCATTCATGGCATCTCTTCATTCTGGATATTTTAAGGCTTCAGTAACAGTAGACGAAGCTGCTGGAGGAGATATGGTGACAAGCATTGTACGAGGAGGTGGCCATGGAATAGTACGTTCCATCAGTGAATTTCTTTGAACGATTCTGGTGTGATAATTACTGATTTTGAGGAGGAGAGGGCCAAGATGAGGTAGTGCTTGAGGACAAAGAAGAAGTGGAAATGGAGGAATGATCCAAAAATCCATGGGAAATAATAATTTGGGCTTTTATGAAACAATAATTCAAAAGGAGATTTGTTGCCCAGTGAAGAGGAAGGAAGTGAATTGATGAGATAAGCAGCTGTGGAAAAGGCATAAACCCAAAATGCTTGAGGTGGAGAAGAGTGATACATTAAAGCTAAGCCAAGTATCAATAACATGTCTGTGCTTTCTTTCAACAGTATTCTCTTGAGAGTGAGCATTGGAACAAGAAATTCTATGAGCAATGCCAAAAATTAAATAAAAATTAAAATTTTATCGAGGCCTTGAAATTAAACTCTCTAATCAAATTGATGAGCTTTAATTTTCATGTTAAACTGATTTTTAGCAAGCTTTTTAAATTGAAGAAAATAATCATAAACTTCATCTATAGTTTTCATAGGAAAAATCCAAGTATATCAGCTATAATCATCCGCAAAAGAGACATAATATATAGAACCAGATAAAAGAAACAACAAAAGAGGGACCCTATACATCATTGAAAATTTTAAATCTACAAGACAAAAAGAACGATTGGGGGAAGAGGGATAAGAACGATCTGGATGACTTGTGTTCGGCAACATGAGCAATGATGTGTTCAGAAAGAGAGGAAATGATAACTGAAAGAATGAGTTGCGTTGAGCAAACCATTTGTGATGATCAGTAATGATAGCACTAGAAGGAAGAAGAATAAAGGGAGGAGGGACAGAGCCATTAATGTACCCTGAAACTACTTGTCCTTAGAGATAAGGAAGCATTTGGGCATGCCAATGAAATAGTTGTCTTGAGTGAGCTTAACAGCAACAAAGTGAGGAAGGTTAGTGATTATGATGGAGGAAGAGGAAGAAGTTACGACATTATTGGTGGTGGATGAACTGGCGTTGGGAGTATAGGAAGTTGTGGTATTTGATGGGTTACTAAAGGTGAAGGAAGGGTTTCTAGGGAATGGAGCTCTAATACCATGATAAGGGAAAATGAAAATAGCAAAACAAAGTTTCTTCATTGATTGCATCATATCATATGGTTTGTAATGTGTGTGTGTGTGTGTGTGTGTAGGAAGAGAACGACAAAGCATAAAAGAATATACACTACAATAAGTTTAAATGTAAACAAGACAAAAACACCATGATGTGGCAGTAGTATCAAAAGGTCAAAAGTAGGCTTTAAGATGGCTTTATGTTGGTGTGACCTATCATGGTAAATAGGTGAGCATAGTTTTAACTTTTAACCATGAAATTGTTCATTATTTTCTATTGCAATGAAGATTAATTAAATATATATATATATATATATATCACTGACTGATTACAAAGTTCCATATAAAAGCTTGTAGAATGACAAGGGGAAGAGCTAATCTATTGCATCTCGGGCGGAGGGAGGGGACTACCGAAGTTTTCAATTTTTTTTTCTTTGTATTATATAGATGTTACATACTTTTGGTTTTTCCAAAAATTTATAAAAATTTTGTAGTATATATATTTTTTAATGTCAACCCTCTTATTTATTGTTATATAATTTGAGAGAATTTTGATGGTGTGCAGAATTTCAGAAGCTGTGGGTCTGATGATTTTTGTCTTCCAGGCGACAAACTTCCTGATTGGCTAACCTTCATTGGTGAAGGAGCTTCAGTAATTTTCCAAGTGCCTCAACAAGTCAGTGGTTATAATCATAACTTGAGAGGAATGGCTTTGTGCCTTCTTTGGTTGTCTTCTCAAGGAAACATAACATCAGATCATATAAATAATGTTTTGATCATAAACTACACCAAAACTACCATACAGCTCTACAAGCGAGACTCACTAACTTCCTTTGAAGAGTTAGATTGTGAAAGCCATATTTCAACTCTGGAAGCTGGTGATAAAGTTGAAGTTATGGTAACTAGTGGGGATGGACTCACCGTAAAGAAGACAGCGATTCATCTGTTTTATGGTTCACCAATTCAAGAAGCAATAATGGAGATTTCACATCCTGATCAAGATAATTTTTCTTTGGATGTTAGAAATCCAGAAAGGGTTAAATCTAAGAGTAGAATATTTAACCACAAGAAGCTTTTCAAATTCTTTCAAGAATGTTTTAGGAAGTAGATAATTTTATAAAATTTCTTCTGATATTAATCCATTTATTTGTATTTGTTTGTTTTTCAATATTTTCTGCATGATCTTTCTCTTTGTTCCGTCCCCTTTTTCTTCAATTTTATGTGACATATATTTTGTTAATTTGAAGGCCCAGCATGGAGGGTTGTAATGGTTCATGCATGCATGTTTGTTGAAAAATGAACATTATTGGATGATTTTCCTTCATTTTTAAGTTAAAGAGGCGTACTTTAAGTTAATTATTACTTACTCTGTTTAAAAATATAAAATATTTTTTTTTTTGAGTTTAGATATTTAAAAATATAAAATATTTTTCGTTTTTCAATATAATAAATTATTTTTAAAATATTCTTCATAAATAAATCAGTTAACTCTTCACATTTAAGTGAAGCATCCTATCTAATAAAGATAAATATAAAAAAAATGATATCAATTTAAAGATAAAATAAATATACAAACAATGAATGTGGCAAATGTGATTTGAAAATAGGGATCTAAATGGGTCAGAAGTCTAATGTCCCCTCCCTGGATTGGGATAAGATTCTCTCCTCTTCTTTTTTCATCATCTTCCCTTCGTTTTCCTTTCTAATTAATAGATTAAGATTTTGACATTGCATTTTTAATCTCCTATAAATTTATTATTAAAATATTAAATTATAAAAAATAAATGATAAAATTCAAACTACTATGCTAAAATTTAGTATGGAAAATTAAAAACTACGGTAAAAACTAAATAAATTAAATATTTTATAGAAGACTAAATTTAAACCATCCAAGTCTTGATCTAATGATTAGAAATAAGGAAGAAGAGGGTAGGGATAAAGGAGAGAATCCTCTCACCAGAGTGGGAGGATTTGGGGGAAGGATGAATTTAAATATAACTATTTCACCTAGTAATTTTTTTTTCCCTTGATATTTCAACCTTGTCCATAGTAGTATAGGATCATCAGATATAAGACACGAAAATCTCCTTACTTATCTTCTCTGCTCTTTATCTATCGCCCCCTTCTGCTCTGTTTTGGCAATCAGATTTCAAGAATCTGATTTTATCGAACTCTGTACAACTAGCTGTGAAAGTGTATAAATGCTTTCTCACATGCTTCCTTATATATATGTATGTTGTAACTAAAATATTCAAAGGTGCCACTTACCTTTATTGCTATTCAGTTTTTGCTGCAAGTTGTTGGTAGTTGTCAAGGAGACTTTTTTTTTTTTTTAATTGTTATCTCACTTTTTTTGGCATTCATTTTTATATTTGTAATACTCATTTTTCTTTTTTTTTTCAGCACTTATTTTTTTAAGTACTGAACATATTATGGCATTAATGGGTTCCATACATGCATAGATAATAATGAGAATATAAATATTAGGCCACTAAGTCTTCCTATTTACTGAATCTCCGTCCCCTAATAGATCCTCAAGTAATGGCATCAAAGCATGGGCATGATGGCCTTTTCTACTAATGTAACTCGGAAAAAGGAGTGCTGTTTGAAGACACCGTTCTACACATTAATCTCTGGTATAAAAATTCATTAATTATTATGGATTCAGGGAAGGTTGAACAAGTTTTTGCAAGTATGGCATTTGCCACAATACTAAAAGCAGGATTGTTTAGGAGCCAATCTTTTGTTTCAGAAAATCCAAGGATTTCATTCCCTAGGAGAAATATTATTTATGCAATATTCTGTAGATGGAGAAATATACCAATTCCATTTTCTTTTTAAATACATTTCTCATTTTCTCTCTACAAAACACTTTTTTCATGTACCAAACATATATTAAAGCTTACACAGTTCATTACCATTGTTTCACCACTTCCAAAACAACTTTCTACATTTTTTCATCAAGGGATTAGTGGTATTCCTAAACCAGAATCAGCATAGCTCCCTCAGTACAATAGCAAGCATATGTAAAGCTTCCACCAATGGAATTGATGGAATCATAAACATATAGTAGACTTAGTTTGGATGGAAGGAAAAGTAGAGAGAAAAAATAAGGAGAGAAAACTAAGAATATTTACTATTTTTGGAAATTTTCCCTCATAGTTTTCTTTCCTCCCTATTTTTTCTCCTCATCCAAACAAAGGTTATGGTTCAAGAAGCTTGCACATTTTCATTGTTTTTCTGGGTCTACTTAAAGGTACCTCCTCTTCATCATCACATTGGAATGCCTTAGACTCGACCCTTGTAATTTCATGTCTGCTAGAAGAAACAACATTCTTATCAGGTTCTTGGGTAGGCACTGTGTTTTCTTCCATTGATTCAGCATATATCAGATACATTGCTGTCTTCTTTACAGTGAATCTGTACCCAAAAACTACAATAACCTCAACTTTGTCACCAGGTTCTAACTTTGATGTTATGTCCTGCCATTCTTCATCCCCAAAGGATGTTAGTGTTTCTCGCTTGTAAAGCTGGATGGTGCTCTTGCTGAAATTTATTAACAGAACACCAACTGGATATCCAAATGCTACTTTGTTCAGGAAAGACGAATATATAATGCACAAAGTCATTCCTCTCAAGCTATAGCCTGTAAGATTTGGAACTTCAAAAAATACTGAAGGTCCTTCATCCTTGTAAGATAACCAATAAGGATATTTGTCACCAGGGAGCAAACAATCACCAAACCTGTTAGTAGTTAATACCTGCACCATGCTGTAAATGTGAGTGCTTATTTAACTTTTGATGACTAAATTAATCATGTATTCTTAAGAGACAGACAGGTGCTGCAAAAATTATATACAGTCTATTTGACTGAGCAAATCTAATGGCAAGCTTATATCTCCGGCAGTTGAAGAAGTAATTCCCTTTTTTTATTTGATATTGTTAATAACTGTACTGAATAAAAATTGAGAAATCAATAGTAATTTATTTTAGATAACAAAGTAGTTAATGTTTTAAATGCTTAATCTAATCTTAAATTAATAACACCAAATAAAAAAGCATACAAACAAAACAAAGAAAACAAACCCAACATCACATATATCTCAAATATACCAGAAGGAGTTACATTCCTTTACTAAATTTGGTTCTTCGAAGATTAAAAAATGGTAGCATTGAATGTCAATATTACAACAACACGTTGTCCCTTTAGATTATGGGTATTTCTACCATAGGCTTTAACTCCTGTACTTGCTCTTTTAATTATGGGGAGACCAAGATCTTATTCCATAGAATCCAATAGGAGGGAGACTGTTCCACGAGAAAAAATGCTAATGAAGTGTGGAAGGATGATATAACAAATACAGGTAGAATCCTATATATACTTGCCTAGGTACTTTTATTACTTATTATATGAATGCATTGTGGATATATCTATTTATGAACTTTGAAGATGATTGCCACAAACACAATGATCTAGTACCTTTAGCTTTTATATGCGCACCGCATTTCATACAGACAAATATCTACACAGCCTCACGTCCCAGTAAACCGTTGTCCTCTATTTCAGGAGTACTGAAAAGTGAAAAGCCATAAATCCTAAAATAAGGGCAACACAACTCTTGAGGACCTTTTGGCAACTTTTAGGGAATAAAATCTATTCTTCAACAAAAAGAACTGCACAACTGTTAAAAATTCCTAAGAATGCATGATCTAACAACTAAAATAAGCACAAATTTCATTTTATATCCCAGATGGAAGAAACAGACATTATGTTATGCACTTTAAGATGGGTACAATTCTAACCCTGTATAACTGCATATAAAGGTAGACTGACAAATAGATGGAATGAAGAGAGAAAGATGATGGTCAGTGATTATTAACCTGCGAAATTGCCTCACTAAGAGTTATTGTGACTTGGCTGCTCTGTCCCATTTGAATCAAAATGGATCTCAAGGAATTTTCCGAACTTGAAATGTGAAACTGATTGCCACAAGGAGTTGAAGTAGATGTTTCCATGCATGAAACTTGTGATGCATTTGGGGTTTCCAATTCAACACCATTTGTGGCGTATATTGAATCTAAAACTCTTTCTATATCTTGAGTAAGCTGTAGCTCTGAGAAGGATTCAATCTGAAGGCTTCGAGTCTTTGAAAGGCCAGTAAGCATTGATGGTAGATCATGAAAACTATTAGCTTGTGCTTCTGAAGAAACAAGAGATGACATGCTCTTAGACGCTTGAACAAAGGACAAGGGATTATTTGTTGGTGACATCCATGACCAAATGAGAGAAGGAAACACATCACCTGTTAAACCTTCAAAGCCACAAACAGATATATACCCAATGTTTTTCAATCTTACAATTGAATAGGGAACTTGTCTTATTGCTGTGTTATTTGCAATCAGAGTAGTCAAAGATTGCACCTGCCCTATGTCTTCCTCCAACTTATCAATCTTTAAACAATCAGACAGGAGGAGAACCTTCAAAGATTTTGACTTATAGATAGTTGTTGGGAGATTAGTAAGGCTTGTGCAGCCCTTCAAGTTTACCAAAGTAAGATTTTTTAGATCTCCAATGGAGTGGTGCACCATAGACAAACTTGAACAATATTTGAGTATTAGAACTTCAAGATGAGGCAGATTTGAGAAATCAGGAGATTGGATCAAGTAAAAGGAATGACTCAGATTGAGGATCTTCAACTTGCTGAGCAACTGCATAAAAAAGTGATGCAGACCTTAAGCTTCAATTATCATTTTGTTAAAAACGGAAAATCAAACAAATTACATCCCCAAAGGACCAAACTTCCTCACAAGGAAAAAAGTTATGCTGTAAATCTATCATGTGATAGTCTGGTGGCACATTCTCTCATGTAAAATTATCCTAATTACTTCGATTTAAAAACCACTCAAAACACCCCCATGGACCTAAATTCATAAGTCATGAACTACTCAAAAGCTTAAACACCATAGAACAATCCAAATTAGAACATAAATTCAAAATAATTCAGAAATACTGAACCCTAAGTCATGGCAGTCAAACTTTTTAATATCTCACACGAAACTAAATGTGTAATCAGGATAAACTTTAGAGATGAAGGGTTCTTCCAACACACGCCTATCACATGCGAAAAACTTTAAAATTCAAGAACAAGTAACAAATACAATTGTGAAAGAATTGGACTGTGTTTCATGTTCTTTTGAATTTCTCGTACTAAATTTTCAATTAGGGTATACTTAATTGTATATTCCACGTTAGAGAATAACGAAGATGAAACAAATGGAAATAGTCATTACAAAAATATGAGCTCAAAGGGGCTCAAGTATTGTCAAATCTATACCTGGGGTTCCTTCCAAATTTGATAGAGATTGCTGTATTTTAAGTCAATAGCAACTAAACTTCCTTGATGAAAAGTGCCAGGAATATATCTCAATGGAAACCTACGCCAACTGAGCCATTTGAGGTCTTTCGAAAGACATTCAAAATCTCCCTCCAGTTGAACATGATCAAGTTGAATCAATCTCAGCTTCTTCATCTCCTTAAATGCTTCGGTGCTTAAACAAACTCTATTATTTCTGGGCAACTTCAAAGCCAATCCCTCAATGGATATAGTCCCCTACGCATATTATAGAGAAACAAAAAGTAACAAGTATACCTTTGTTATTCTTTTCCTAGAAAACACTAGATAAACATTGAACTTCAGAATACAGAAGCATGTGACGACTAACCAATACAATAAGGATTACAAAATCTACATTGTTTTAGTTGCATATAAAAGGTAGAAAGCAGATACTGAATTGCAAAGAAATTCAAGTTCATAATTTTGTTATGAGAAAATAATTAGATGGTGGAATAAATGCATGGATATTCATTTTGCTTCAATTTAGCATCAAAACTTGATGAAACAAAATGCTTGCAAAGAAGAAGCTTACAGTATGTTTCTTGAGCACACTATGGGCATCTTCATAGAACCATAATCTACTACGCTTCTCAGGCTCTTTTGGTGATTTTTTACGAATGATTTCTCTTCCCATGTCTCGTAGCAAATCATGCATTCCAAGCCTATTTTTCATATCAACAGTTACTAGGCTTCGCTCTGTGAGGACACTTATTCCAATTTCAGCAAAAAGTCCACAGTCATTTAATATTTTTATAACATAGTTTCTATCCATACCAATAAAGAAACATGATATATCAAGGAATATTTCTCTCTCCGTATCATCATTTAAACCATCAAAACTTATCTTTAGTTTCTTATGTATTTGATCATTGGGAATTCTTTTTAGTTTCTCCAATACACTTTCCCACTCTTGAATTCTCCTATCAAACAAATATGAACCAAGTACTTCAAGAGCTAGTGGTAATCCTCTACAGTAAGCAACTACAAGTCTTGTGAGTTCAATGAACTCTTTGATAGGATCTGCTTGCTTAAATGCATGCCAACAAAAAAGCTCAAGAGACTCACTTGTGTTCATGTCTTTCATTCTATATATGCTATCCACTTTAAGGACATTGAGTAGATGCTCATCTCTAGTTGTAATGATTAATCTACTTCCTGGACCAAACCATTCATGGCTTCCACACAATGCATTAAGCTGGTCCAAATTATTCACATCATCAAGTACAACAAGTGTCTTCTTATGGCAAAGTTTTTCTTTCAACAGCAATTTGCCCCGTGCAGAGCTATGAAATTTCATCTTTTCTGTCTTAAGAATATCTGAAAGAAGTTGTTGTTGCAAATATATTTGACCATTGTCTTGCTCCCAAACTTCTCTGATATTTTCAAGGAAACTGCTCCCCTCAAAATGATGACACATTTCATTGTAAACAGCCTTGGCTATAGTGCTTTTGCCCATCCCTCCCATCCCCCAAATTCCAACAATTAGAACTTTAGTTGAGGGACCAGTTAACAGTTCAATCATGTCATGCACACGAGAATCTACTCCCACTGGATGGTCAGCAACAAACAAGTAGGTGCTATCTAGTATTCTCAAAATAGAGTCAGTAATATTCTTGATCACCAAGCGTTCACTCCTGACAATAAGATTGAAGAATCAGATAAGAGGAGCAGTTGTTGCATAAGCTCTATGAGAAATAACCCAATAAGGCAATGAACGAAGAACAATTTGTAGTGAAGCAGTTTTAGCAATGATTAGAATGTCAACTTTCATGACCAATATTGTAAATGCATAAGGAGCAATATGAATTATATTCACTTAAATAATTCAATTTTTTGTGTCAACTATCTAATATATAATACGACTGACTATCCTAAATAAAACCATTGTCAAATGCAAATGGATGAAAATCCTCTCAACATGATTTCCATCCGTAAAGTTCAAACCCAAAACCTTGCACAAGGAGTATCGAATTTCTTCTACTCAACCCAACCATTAATACTAAAGATTAGGAAATATTTTCTTAGGAGAATAACATTTAAAAATATTTGTTTGTAATCATTTTCTCTTTCGCAGAAACTCTAAAAGATAAAATTAATATTATATGGAAAACATTAACATAGAAATACAAGAGTCCTTCATATGACCTAACTGATGTTTGTACTTGTGAAAGTTTTGTGCATGAAACCTATGTAATTATCAACTTGTAACCACTTTAAACAAATAATTAAACCACGCTTACCATTTTTTTCTTTTTACCATGTCAAAGACATGAACTTTTATACCTATCATAGAGTGCGTAAACCCTGAGTACTAATCCCAAGTAAAGTTTTCTCTGTCAATATCTCATTGTCTCAGATTTATTTTCTTTAGTCAAACTTTTTCCTCCATTTTTTTATTTATCATTGCTTGTGTTTGAAAATGGTAATCAAAATAAATAAAATTAAGGTCAAGTCATTAAGTTTAACACATTCAGCTTAAAGTAACCCTTTCTAAGACCAATAGACTCTAAAAGATTTAAAAAAAAAAAAGAAAAGAAGAACTTTAGAACAAGAATTATTATTGGCATCAAACATTCCTTCCAATACAACCCATATGAATGAGAATGCTTTTCACATATTTTTTTTTTAAGTCTTATTAAAATTTTCCCTTCCAAAATAAATAAAAATTTTGATGGCAGCTCTGTCTAAATTATTTTTCTTATGTCTTGAAAATAATTATTTTTCCCAGAAATTTCAGTTATAGTCACATTTTAGGTGGGACACATCCCACCCTCTTCCCAAATTGGATTCTCCTGCTCCTTTACTTCTTGAAGCATATTCACAGAGTTTTTTTTTTTCATTTTTTATTTTGATATTTTGTTATCTTGAAAAATTAAAAAAAAAAGTAATAATAAAATTCAAAACCTGCTGCCAAAAATCCCCATGTACTCCAGTTAAGCAACAGGTTTCAATAAGAGAAGCAAATAATTCAATGAAATTCTCTTCAAAACTTTGGATGAAACCCATAGTTATGGCACCGTTTTGGACTTCTTATTAGCTGGATATAGATTATTTAGTCGATTGATCGAAGCCACTTCCAAGTAGAAAAAAATCCTAACACCATTTCCATTCCATAAGGCCATTAATAACAACTAATATAAAGAAAAAATACAATCATTGGTCCCTAGTCAGGTTTTACTTTTAATCCTATACTTTTTTCGTTAGTTTTCAGTCCTATAGTTTCAACAAGACTGGTTAACATTTATTGCAGTCCCTATTCCTACTTAAAAGTGAAAACACTCAAAAAAAAAAAAAAATTACAAAGATTAAAAATAAAACCCAATAAAACTATAAGACCAATGATTGTGTTTTCTCAAATCTATCTCTAATGTTATCCAAACTCCAACACACGAGATTAAGGTTACCTGAAATTCTTCAAATCAAATCCGGCAAGATTGGCAGCTGCAGTGAGAGCATGCCTCCAACGCCACATCTTCTCATTACTGGTGTACAGTAAACATCGATTGAATGCTTCCCCAAAACGACCTCTCTGTTTGCGTACATCTGACGGATCAACATCATAGAACACAGGCAGAACCACCTGACCGATAGTTCTGTGACATTCCATGATTTTTTCCAGTTCTCCTAAGCACCATTCGGAGCCGCCATAGTTGATTGAGAAAACAACGATTGAAATTGTTGAGCTGGAGATGCTTTCATGCAGTTCGTCAGCAATCACATCGCCCCTTTCTAATGACTCGTGATCTTCATCCTGAAAAGCGTGAATTCCAGCATGACTGAGAGATGAATGAAGATGAGAAATGAAACCCTTCCGAGTGTCTTCTCCTCTGAAACTCAGGAACACATCGTTTGTCCAATTAACTTCGTATTTAGACTTGGATTTGGATTTGGAGGATGAGCGCCGGGAAGAAGACATTGAACGTGAGAAAGCAAAAGGTGAATCCTGAAGTTGCGAAAATCGGTTGTAAAGGGAAAGGAGGAAAAGGGGAAGAAGAACGTTTAATACAATAAGGTCAGTAAAGCTTTTGGTTAGGCGTGCATTAGCAGAATTCAATATCACTATATTATTCTCGACTACGAATCTACGATCTCCCCTCACTTCGTGATATAGATTAATACAATAGGTCAGCACTCAGTACAGCTTTGGTTGGGTAACGGTAACTCTGAATCGTTTAAATTAAAATTTTAGTGAGATAGGATAATATAAAAAAATAATAATAAAATTTCTTTAAAATATATAAATAATAATTTAATGTTTTAAAATGATATAATTTTTTTGAAGTTTTTAAGAGCTCTTTTATTATTAATAAATTTATATAAATTATTAAATTATTTTTATTAAAAATAAATGATTCACAACTTTTTTAATATTCGCAATAATATAACACTAAATCACAACTTCTCATATTAAATTCATTATTTATTTTTGTAAATATAAGAAAAAAAATTATAAATTATTTATTTTCAACAAGAACAATTTAATAATTTATATATATTCATTAATAATAAAAAAAATTTTAAAGATTTTAAAAAATTTGACATTTTGAGATATCAATTATCATTTATCTATTTCAAAAAAAATTATTATCATTTTTCTATTAATATATAACTTTAAAAACTATCAATTTTAAATTATTAAATATTAGTTAACAATCCAAACATACAGCCCCAATTATAATGGAATGAAGTCAACTTTTAATATTTGTTACCTTTAACCCTTGGTTCATGAGTAGGAGAGAGAAGGGCTTTCCTTCTTTGTTTGGATAGTAAAAAATAAAAAAAATAAAAAAAAAATTTCCTTAATATTTCCCCTCCCCTCCAAAATGAAAGTTGAGGATGGAAATGGTATAATATGACTCGTTGGGACTAATTTATTCTTGTTGGTGGTGCTCTCCCAATTCAGGCCATCGTCCCTTTGCCCCAGATTGCAACGCTGTCCATCCCCCCCAACTCGTGCCACCGTCCATCTTCCCTAGCTCGCGCTACCGTTGCTGCCCCCTTCATTCAGATTGCCATCCGCATTAAAGTTCTTCACGGCTGCTCGTATTGCCATCTCCCTCCCCCAACTCGCGCCGCCGTCGCTGCACCCTCCGTTCAAATCATCGTTCGCTGTTTGCTTCTCCCTCCATTTAGATCGTCGTTCGTTGTTGCTTCTCCCTCCGTTCAGATCGTTGTCCACTGTTGCTTCTTCCTTTGTTTAGAACGTGGTCTCCTCCTTCCGTTCAAATCGTGGTCCTTTGCGATGCCGGTGCCGTTTGTATATTAATGACTAATATTTTATTGTATTTTATATTAACTAATATTTTATATTGAAAAAAATAATCTTTTAATTCTTCAACTTTTAACTTACTTATAACTCAATCTCTCAACTATGACTCGCTGTGACTCAATCCGTCAACTATAACTCGCTGTGATTGAGCCTCTCAACTTTTAATTCGTCTATAACTCGATCCTTATTTTTTATTTTAAAAAAAATTTCTTATCAAATAAGATGAATAAAAAAATGCTCATATATTATTTTAAAATACCTTCTCTTACTCATTGATATAAGATATAAGCTAATATAAAAAAATAATAATAAAATTTAAGAGACTAATTTGTAAGTGATACAAAAGTTGAGGGACTAAATCATAAACGAGTCATAGTTGAAAGATTGAGTGACAGTAAGTAATAGTTGAAGAACTAAGTTAGAAATAACTTAAAAGTTAAAGGATTAAAAGATTAATTTTTCTTTTTATATTTTTAATATAAATATTTAATCTTTATTTTTTAAAAAAATGGTGAGATGTATATTTTTGTCTTTATTTTTTAAAAATTTACAAATATATTTTATTTAAAATTAAAAAAGTAAAGAAAAATAATTTTAATAAGATAAGGGTATAATTATTCATATATAATTATTTTTCCTCCTCTTCCTTCCTGAATCAAACAAAATACCTCCCTTTTATTAAAACCATCTCCCCCCTCCTCCTTTCTCCTTGAACCAAATAGAATGTTAGAGTTTTAATCTTTAAAAAATACTGTAATTCATTATTTAGTTGAAGGGGAGGGGAGGAGAGGGAAAATTTTAAAATTTTCCCCTCCACTTCACCTTACAAAAACAAGGAGAGGGGGCACCCTTCCTCTCCCTTTGTCACTCCCCTCCCCTTGTCCCATCCAAACAAGGAAAGGGGAGCCCCTTCCCTTATTTGGTTAGATGGGGGAGGAGGGTAAATTTTTTTCTCCAAAACCTCCTCCCCCCCCCCCCCCAAATTAGGGAGAGCTCTCCTCTCCTCTCCTCTCCTCTCCCTCCTCTCTCCTTCCCTTTCCTCACTTCCCCCTTCCATTTTCCCTTCTCCTTGAATCAAACAAAGCTTAAAGAGAAGATTGCACTTACCCTAAGACCCTTAGATGAAAAATAATTACTTTTACCCCCGTTTCGATGAGAAGAAAAGTTAAAAAAAGGAAATAAAAAGAAAAGAAAACTAAAAAAAATATTACTACTCTTTATATTTGAATGGAAGAAGAAGATAGAAAAGAAAAAAAATGAGTAAATATCATAATGACTATAATACTCTTATATCAAAATATATATGTTTAATATAATTATATGTATAAAAATATATTGAAAGTGAACATTATATAAAAATTAACATCATCAAAATAATTTAAAATAAAATTAGTTTTTAGAAATTACTTTCATGTTATTTTATTTTAAAACCAAATAATTTAGCAAAAACATGTTATTTGTTATTTACAAAATAAAAAAGCTGATAATTTTTTAAAATTAAATATAATAAAAAATAAAAAATTCTAATTTAGCTCTTGGTTTGTTGGAGAGAGAATTTTGTTTTTACATATAGTCATGAGTTCCACAGCGAGTATATGAAACTAGAACATAAAAAATAAATTATATATACATAATGTCATAAAAATATGAAAGGCACATATTTATAAAATTATGCATTTTGTAGAGAAGATGAAAACATGGACAGCGCTGAGACAAAGTAATGTGAGATCATTAATTTTTAAGTCAAACACTTTTATAATCATAAAAATTATGTGAATTAGCATTAAATTATTTTTATAATAATTACTGTCACTTATTATGGTGTATCAAATATAATGCAAATCAGGGTGTTGAGATCTTGAGGCAAAAAATGGAAGGTAGAAGATGACGAAGCAAAAGACTCATGTGTAAAGAAGCAAAAAGATAGATGTGGAATAAATATTTTTCTTCCAAAATCTCTCTATTTGTGAAGAGAAAACTTGGAGAGAAAATATGATAGATTTCATACTCCATTTTCTCTTCTACTTTTCCTTCCTTTCACTTTTTCTCATCCAAAGAGGGGAAAAGTTATTTTCTCTCTTATTTTCTCCTCATGTTTTCTTTACTCACATATTTTCTCTCCATCCAAATAAAGTGTTAAGGTCTAATACACTATGATAAAATTTTGCAAGCCCAAGCAATGTTTTCAAAGCTAAGTCAGATATTGAACTGAAAGGCTTAATAGTTCACAGTTTACATAATCCAACCAGGTTGAACTAATAGTCAAACTAGTGACATAATAATTAAATCAAAAAATTATATATGTATATACTAATCTAAATATAAGAAATAAATATAAAATTACTACTTAACTTAAAAATAAAACCAAATATTATAAGTTTCTTATGACTTAATAATCAATATGATACAACACATCAAATGATTAAAAAATGAGTCATTTTTCTTTAAAAAAAAAAGAAAAGATGAAGGGGTTATTTTTTAAACCATCCAATTTTTAAAAACTAGATCTAGTTTCCAATCTAAAAAGCCGGTCCAAAGCAGTTTAATCTAACCCAACTCTCTAAACAATTTTTTTTCAGGTTGACTGAGTCGTTAGCTTGACAATCTGACTGGCCTAATTCAGTTTTTAAATCATTTGACCTGAGGGCCTCATCTATAGTTAGTTTCCAAGTTCAAAAGACTCAATTACCCCTAATATGAAAAATGAAACCCATCATGCATGAAAATCATGCTTCACGAGCCAGCATTCAACCTCATGGGATCTCTTTCTTATACCTGATTAAAGTTTTCTCCACCATGAAAGATGCAAGCTATCAACCACGCGCTAATACAACTCCACCAACCAACATCAAAATATAGAGTTGGAAATCCGAGCTGACCGAACTTATTCAGATCGAACTTAAAAGTATCCTACTTTATATAAAAAACTTATATAACTAAATTCAGTCCTAATACCTTTAAGTTTTGGACTTATTCGAGTCAGCCCAAATATACAAAACTTTTTAAAAATATTTATTTTTTTGAATCAATTTTAATTTTTAAGCAACTCTATTAAGCATAAAAAATTATTTTGACTTTAAAAGAATAAAAAAATAGTAACTTATCAACTTTGTACTTAAGTAATTTTTTATAATTTTGTTATATTATATGTAATTTCTTCATGAATATTTCCTTTCCTTGTAAATTCATGTTCTAGTTGTTTAAATATTAATATTATTATGGTCATCTATAAATATTTATATATTTTAATTGAATTATGTTATTTTAATTATGATCAAATTGACTTCAATTCAATTACAATTAGACCATTAACTTCAAATCATCACCTCAATTAATTCAAAGTTTTTAATAACTTTTGAGTAAAACGTACTTTTTTATTTTTAGGAATATTAAAAAATAGTCATAATTGTATTATATAAAATAAAATTACTTAATTATGAGTAAAATAATATTTTTTAAATTATTTTTTTAATTTTTATATTGTTTAACCTCTACATACAAAAGGTGTTTATTCTAATTTATTTTTAATTTTTAATCAAGTATGGCATGAATAATAATCAAATAATTATTCAAAGATATTTTTCTATTTTATTATGTTCATCTAGTAGGAATTCATACATGCATGAATTTTATTTTTAAAATAAATTTTAATTTAATTTTTTACTTTAAAATTAATTATCTTATTTTATAAAAATATAACATATATTTTTTTTGGATATTCAAACAATGTATAGGATTCAAAAAATTTTAAAAAAATAAGTGGCTCTTAAAATATAAAAAAATAAATATTAAAATATATTTTAAATATTATTTTGAGATATTTTAATGAT